AATGGCTTCAGCGAGGAACTCAAATCCCTTCTCCGGTGCGATCCGACAAACTGTTAGGAGGATAGCTTCGCCGTTTGGAGCCAACGTATCCCGTAGGGACTGGGAGCGGCGAGATGGATTAAAAAGGGATGTGTCGACACCCCGTCCTAACCGGTGGGTTTTGTGGATGGGAGTATTGGTGGATCGTAAGTAGGTTAGGACATCGCTGCACGGGTAGAAGATCGTGTGGATGCAGGGCGTGCGGAAGAGATATCCCTCTACCAGGGAGAGGAGCCAGACGGCGAAGGTGGAGAGGGGTCTAGGGAAGATGATGGAGCTGTAGGAGGAGAGGTCTGTTTGGTAGTTTAGGAGCGTTGGTGGAGGGGAGTGGAGTTGGCGGAGTTGCAGGAGGATTTGGAAGCCCAGACTGGCTGGGCTGGCGATGTAGATTAGGTTTGGGGTGAAGGTTTGGGGGTAGATTGTGGTGGTGAGCTGGAAGGGGTAGACGAGGGTGAGGTCGGGGTTGTAGGGCAGGGGGTAGCCGGGGAGGCGGATTGTTGTTGTTGTTGTTTCTTCTTCGTGGGTTTGATGATGCTGTGATGGTGATGGTGAGGATGGTGGTGGTGGTGGTGGTGAGGTGAACTGTGGTGCCACGACGGCCAGTTCGACGCCATTGCGACGCAGATACTCGATCAGTTTGCCGGTTGTGCGACTGACGCCGTTGACTGGGCCTAGAGATTCGGTGGTGAGGAGGATGCGTTTTCCTTTGAGGATGCTGGGGAAGTCTTCAGAGGGGGGAGGAAATGAGGGCATGTTGATGATGTTGATACTATTCAACCAGTATCTGATTGGTGGACTGTACATCTAGACACAGTCTACGACTACCAGGAGTGCACGCACGTACTTATGTTCTACAAGAATAGACAATACGGTGTGCAGAGCAACCAGACCCAGGAGGACAAAACTAACACCCACAGATCATTACTCCCCTACACTGAGAATCACTGCAGGTGATGCCTAAGAATCGTTCGTGTCTCCGGGCTGGATGCGGGCACGTGGGCTAACTGGAGAGAATCGCTCGTTCGGGCGGATCACCAGCCAAATTTCATGCCTTCAATGCCTCCTGCATCCCCCTAACCCTTGATCCAGTGGCAGTCCATGCTGCCCCCCGCGTGCATCAACCCATGCAGCTCTGTGGCATTGACTCCCTCTTTCGCCCTCATGCTCTGCTGCTCACGTTCCGCTGCAACGGCCATGCGCCCTCCGCGCAAGACCTTATCTCCTCGGTCGCCCGACGATCTCTTGCCTCTAGGTGTCTGGGCTGATGCTTATACTGCTTGTGGTCCCGTCTCCCTTGACTTGTCTTGTTGTCTTGCCCCTCAATCGTCTCGTCAGTTCCTGGACTGACTGGTGAGTGAGGTCTGTCGCCGACGGTTACACAAGAAACGCTACAAGCAGCAGCAGCAGCAGCAGCAGCAGCAGCAACACAATGGATCTCGCTTCTTCACCACGAAGCTCTCTCGAATGGAGTCTAGATGACACCTCAACCTGTCCCACTACCCCCGCCTCTAGTCCGTTGTTTCGCGCCGCAAAGGTAGACGATGTCTCGTCGCATTCCACCTCGCCCGCGGGAATCACAGACACCCAGGGAGCCCACAACGACGCTGCGACCGCCAATTCGGCACGTATTCAAGCCAGCGACCGTGTGAAGAGCGTCTGCGTGGTGGGTGCAGGATACGTGGGTAGGCTTCTGCTGGCACACTGCCCCTTATCTACGAGCCAAACTAAGCCAGCCCTACAGGCGGACCAACCGCGGCTGTTCTCGCGCTATACAATCCCTCCGTCGCAGTGACAGTGCTGGACCGGGATCCTCGTCGCATTCAGAGCTGGAAGTCGGCGCACCTCCCCGTACATGAACCCACCCTGTACAATGTGGTGCGCGCAACGCGCGATGGCTCGGACGTGGCTCAGGGTGTTGGTACCGAAGGCTCAGAGTACTCGCGCCGACAGCCCAACCTGTTCTTCACATGCGACTCGACGACCATTGCAGACGCCGACATGATCTTCCTGGCCGTCAACACTCCCACCAAGACCTTCGGTCTCGGCGCCGGTAGAGCCACCGACATGACAGCCGTCGACGGCGCCGTGCAGGAGATAGCACGCCACGCAAAGCCAGGGGCCATTATCGTCGAGAAGAGCACCGTGCCATGTGGAACAGCCGAGCGAGTGCGACAAACAGTAAGCCTCATCCTCACCTCTTATATAACAAAAGAGTAAAGTTGACGGACCAGCTCACCACCCTCCGCCCCAACACCCCCTTCGAAGTCCTCTCCAACCCCGAGTTCCTCTCCGAAGGCTCCGCCATCGACAACCTCGTCCACCCGGACCGCGTCCTAATCGGCTCCTCAGGAACAGCCCTAGGCCGGCGCGCCGCCCGCATGCTCGCCCACCTCTACTCCTGGGTCCCTCCGACGCGCATCCTCCAAGTAAACGCCTGGTCATCAGAACTCGCCAAACTCGTCGCCAACGCCATGCTAGCCCAGCGCATCAGCAGCATCAACTCCATCAGCGCGATCTGCGAAAAGACCGGCGCGGACGTCGACCAAGTGGCGCGCGCCATTGGCATGGACGCCCGCATCGGACCACAGTTCCTCAAAGCCGGAGTCGGATTCGGCGGATCCTGTTTCCGCAAAGACATCGCCAGTCTGACATACCTCGCTGAATCACTAGGATTAGACGAAGTCGCGCACTACTGGCGCCAGGTCAACGCTATGAACGAGTACCAGCGGGTGCGGTTCACACGGAGAGTCATCGACCGCTTCGATGGGAATCTATCCGGGAGGAAGATCGCCGTGCTGGGGTTCGCGTTTAAGAAAGATACCGGGGATCCGCGCGAGTCGCCGGTTGTGGATGTTATCAGACTGTTGCTTGAGGAGAGGCCGGCGGAGATTGATATCTTTGATTTGTTCTGTCACGAGGAGGATATTCTGCGTGAGCTGGAAGCGGCCTGTGGGAAGGAGGAGGTGGCTGCGAGGGTTAAGGTCCTGTCGGATCCGTATTTGGCCTGTTCGCAGGCGAATGCGGTTTTGGTCATGACGGACTGCGAGCAGTTCAAGAATGGGCGGAAGCGCAGTGCTGCTCGCTCAGACTCGGAAGCGTACGAGAGTCTGGATGAGATGCTTTCGCCGGTGCGCAGGGATGAGGAGTGGACGTTCAACGGGGCTACTTATCGATTGACGCCGGAGGAAGGGTGTGGGAGTGACTGCGCGACGTGTCGGAGCTGGGCACCGCGGTTTGTGGCTGTGGTGAATGAGCCGTTGGAGTGGGCGCGCATTGCGTACAACTTGAAGGATCCGAAGTGGGTGTATGATGGACGGGGATGTTTAGATAGGGCGGAGTTGCAGAAGTTGGGGGTGGAGAGTGAGGCTATTGGGCGGATGTAATCATATACTACCATTAATTTCATTGATAGATAGATTGCAAATTAATTACTACTTAATACTATCATATATACCATACCCCAAACCCAAACCCAAACACATCAAACAAATGAAATAGTAACAAAGGGAGAAGTTACAGAGAAGCCTCAAACTTCCCATCCACCTCCTCGACCTTCTTCACAGCCCTAATATACCCCTCCTCCTTCTGCAACCTCTCCGCATACTTCCCCAACAGCGGAAACTTATCCAACTGATCCGCCAACCTCCCGGACATAGCAATCACGGGAAAACTCATCATAATATCCGCGGCCGTCAACTCCGTCCCGCACAGATACGCACCCCCATTGGGACTACTCCGCAACTGATCCTCCAAGAACTCCAAATGCGACTGGATATTCCTCGCCAGGAAGGCCTTTTCCACCTGGCCCGCGACAAGGCGCGGAAGCGGCTTGACGAAGAAGGGCATGCCGGGGGGGTTTTTTACCGCTGTCACCATCACCATTAGCATTAACATCCTTCCTTCCTTGTCCGCAGGACAAATATCATCATGGGGGGAAGCATACTATCCATAACCAACTGCATCACCAAAAACGGCATGAGACTTCCCTCCGCATAGTGCATGAAGTAGCGATAGCGCATCCATTCCTCGGTTTCACCGCCGACCACACCCTCCTGGTTGGGTTTCCATCGAGCAGGAAGGAGAGGTTTCTCTGCTGCTGCGTTGTCACCGAAGTGATCGAGCAGGTACTCGATGATAATGCCGGACTCGGCGAGCACGATGGGCTTCTGGTCTGGAGGGGCGTTCGCGGGCTGGATTGTTAACAAAGGAGACTTTCCTAGCGGATGGATCTCTTTTAGTTCCGCGGGTGCGAGCTTGTCGGGGCCGCGGTGGTAGATCTTGAGCTCGTAGGTTAGGTGCAGGGCTTCGAGGAGCCAGAGGATGCGGTGGGAGCGGGATTGGGAGAGCCTGGATTCATGGTGTTATATTGTTAGTGTTGGGGTTGGGTGTAGGGGGGATAATGGGTTGGAGGGAGGGTATCTACCAGTAGAGGGTGATTTTGGTGCCTTTGTTGGGGTCGGTCATTTTGAGTGTATTAATTGATGAGATTAATTTGGAGGGGATAGGTTGTGTGGTGAATGGAGGAAGGTGTGTATGCTATCTTATATGTGACAAGCTTAGGGATGAATGTGATTGAGTGCTCATCACACATAAATTAGAACTTATCATGCGCGAGCGAACCTCGGATGTTCTCGTGAAGACTGACGCCATGAGTGGGGCGTCCATTTTTGCGATCATACTGTAGATACCAGAGGAGGGAATCTACTATTCAATGTTGTGCCGTGTAGATAAGCAGAGTATATGTGTATGTGATATTTGCTGACTATGTAGAATGTTATTATAATCCTAATGATATACCTATAGCTAGTAATCATATTAACATTGCTGATATCCACTTATCTGCATACCTGCATAAATGCATACTTCACCCTGTTTATGTATATTACTAATTATGCTGCTCATCACATGACCCAACCTCAACATCATCACCACCACACCCAATACGCATATACCCCCAGCTCGCCAGCAATAAACCAGCGCTCCCCAAACCGCAACCATGGCCGGTCCCAGCAAGTGTACGTCCTCTGCATCCGCTTCTCCTCAATTCCAATCGCTAACCGCTATCTCCAGCTTTGATCCTTGATCCGGCCCTCCAGAAATACTACGGTCCGTTTGTTCCCGCCAATAAGACTTGACGCATTACATTACTCCTCCTCCCTCCAGAAACAACAATTACCTCTCAGAGGGGGCATTGGGAGGAATCACTCTTGGATGGATGACAACTGACAATCGGGTCTTGCAGAACTCAACGCCAACCGCTACAAGTACTTCCGGTGGACGCCGCGCCATGCCTGGTTCTCGTTCCTCTACATGGCGCTGATTCCTGGTGCGCTGGGATATGTCGCTTATAAGACTGATGTGAGTGATCTGGGTTACATTGGGATTTGGTGAGGGTGAATGCTAATGGCTGTGTGTAGGGTCTGTACCAGCTGCGTGGAAAGCGCAGGGGCGATACGATTGTCGAGTGGTAGATCGATACGATCCTCTTCAAGTGTGGTTCGGCGGGAGAAAAGCGCGATGTGATGTGATGTGATGTGATGGGTCGGGCTGGATGTGTATCTACTACTACTACTACTACTATTATACCGTTATTGAAGATTTCGTTTACTACATCAGGTTCTTTGCTTTGCTGATGGGCACAGCACAGTCAATAAGACAGACAGACATATCACTAGTAGATAGTAGACTAGACATCCCTGTAGCGAACCGGGTATCCTCAACTCCTAACACTCATACATACACATACAGCATCAAAATCAATCATTCACGCAAGTAGTCAATACGGCGCCCACCCCCTTCTCCCTCCTCTCCCTCCACCTCCACCACCACCACCCCTCTCCTCCGGAACTCTCTCCCCCCGTCTCCAATCCCCCGGTGGAATCCTCCCCCCTCTCATCCCACCACCGCCACCTCCTCCACGATACCTCTCCCCCCTACCAGCATCCCCAGGGAACGCCCTCATCCCCCCACCCATCGCCATCCCCCGACCGGGATTAACCGGCGGCGCCACAGACCCATCCTCAAGCGGCGGAAGTACCGCACAATCAACATAATCTCCAATGACGAACCTTGCCTCCTGCAACGTCTTATCCGCATCATTGCCTTGGATCCTCAACCTCCCTGCTGCTCCAGCACCACTCCCTTTCCTCTGGCCCCCTTCCTCCCCATTCGCATCCTCATCCTCATCCCCACCATTCGCAATCGCACTCTCCCTCGGACCGATAATCACACTCCCCAAATCCTTCGCGAGATATCTGCCCCGCGCGTCGGGCCCCATTGTCGCGGCGCCTTTGGTGTCCGGGTATATGAGGCGGAAGCAGAGGCGCGTACCGACCGGCGGGTCAGGAAGCAGACTAGGTAGCGCGGAGGTCAGGAGGTGGGAGAGTTCGCGGAGAGTGCATGATTGCCAGGTGTAGATTTGGAGGTGGGGAGGGAGTTGTTGTGGTGGTGGGGGACTGCGCGTGCGGATGGCGTTGGGGCCGCTTGTAAAACCGCTGTAGGATGAGGAGGGGGCTGATGAGGAGAAGTCGGAGAGATGGTGGTAGTTGTTGAGTCGGTAGAAGAGCTTGAGGTGGAAGGGGGTTGTGGTTTGACGGTCGATTGGAGGTGGTGTCATTTTGCTGCTCTTCTTTATTTTTCGTTTGTTTTGGTAGTCACTTTGTTGGTGTGGTCGGTTCCAAGAGATAGAGTGTGCGATTGTAGTGTGTAGTATAGGATGGTGGTTATTGCATTGAAAGAGAGATTGAACGAAGGTGGAGGATGAAGCTTGCAAGCAAACAAGCTATCCAGGCGCGGGTGTTTCTGCTGGATCTGGACGGCGGAAGTTCCGCCGCGGCAAGTTTGCCGAACACGGGTGTCTCTTTACCTCCGATTCACCCAACTCTATCTATCTATTGCCACAACCAACACTACGCCTTCACTAGCATCACACTACAACGCCAAGATGGACTTCGCATCGTTAATGTCCAAGGAAATTTCCAAAGCAAAACCCAAAGCAGACTCCCAAGACACCTCCAAACCCAAATACACCCGGCGCGGCGACCTCGAAGCTGCCCGCATCGCCGCCTACAATGAAGAACAAGAGCGCCTCGCCCGCGAACGCGAAGAGCGCAATGCCCTGAAACGCAAGCTCGAAGACGAAGAAGCCGAGCGTCGTCGCGAACGGGAAGAGAAGAAGCGCAAACTGGCCGAGGAGTCGCGCAAGAAGCGCGAAGAGGAAGAAGCTGCTCGGGAACGAGAGCGCAGGAAGAGACTCGGCTTGCCGGAGCTGCCGCCTACGGAGTCTGGAGATGATAAAGAGAGTGAGGGCAAGGAAGGTGGCGAGGAGGATATACCGGAGGAGGAGCTGTTGAACAAGTTGCGGGACATGGAAGAGCCGGCGATATTGTTTGGGGAGACGCACAAGGGCCGCCTGAGACGGTATAGGAGGCTGTTGCAGCGGTCGTTGACGCCGCAGCCGCAGCTGTCAGATGGGCCGATTCCGACGACGTTGGAGCTGGTGCCGGAGGTGGATATGAAGATTCCGGAGACGGCGCCGAAGGATCTGGAGGGGAAGAAGTTCTTGTTTCGCCAGCTGGCATCGTACTTTAATATGGTGCTGCGGGAGTGGGAGTTGGCGTTGGCCAAGCGAGATGCGTCGGTGAAGTTGAGCTTGCAGGGAAAGCAGGCGTATAATGCCATGGTTCAGTCGCGGGAGAATATGAAGCCGTTGTTTCGCAAGTTTGAAAAGGTGGATATCGATGATGGAGTGCTTGAGCATGTGGTTGAGATTGTCTCTAAGGCGCAGCAGCGGCGGTATGTCGATGCTAATGATGCCTATCTGAGGTTGAGTATTGGAAAAGCGTACGTATCTTCTTTCTCTTTTGAGGTCTGTTCCTGGCTAATCTTTTGCAGTGCTTGGCCTATTGGTGTTACCATGGTTGGTATCCACGAGCGATCCGCACGAGAAAAGCTGCATCAGAGCGATCAGCAGGCGCATATTTTGAGTGATGAGATTACGCGCAAGTACTTGCAGAGCATCAAGCGATGCCTCAGCTTTGCGCAGACGCGGTGGCCTCCGGATGATCAGTTGCAGATCATGGGCTAGCCTGATGTTGATATGTATCTATACCCATAAGACTTATGCTGTTTAACAATTACCTCTACATGACAAGTAAACACTGGCGAAGCTCTCGAGCAAAAGCAATTAATCCAATAACACTTTACTCATGTATATCCAGCTAGCCAGCGGTTAACCTGCATCATTCGGCAGATCTATATCACCAAGAGGCTTAAGGTATGTCTAATCTGCCAAGGGCGATCCCAGCTGACTCAGGAGCCGCCGAGATGCAGCAGACAACAGCCCAGATAGCACTACATCTGTAACACAGACAACCCTGTAAACACTAGCAAGATGCGATACAAATTCCCCATATGCTATTCTTTTCTACCAAGTTCGCCATTCCCCAGTATCTGTAAACCATGTCTCCGACATCAACTCTTCCAATCCAACAGGAAATGCATATCCACCCTCACCAAATCCCGCCAAACACCACTCCCACCCGGCACAACCATAACATGCGACTCCAACCAGACTTACCGAATCGAAAAACTGCTCACTCACGGCGGTAAATCTGGCTTACATGTCTACCGAGCGAAGTACTTACACCCCTCTCATACCATACCATTAACCCTAGATTACTCACTTACCCAACCACAGCACCACCACCAACAACAAGCAATATATCATAAAAACCAACATCCCAGGCGACTTCCAACACCAGCTCAACATCCAGAACCAGCTATCATCCTGTTCAAATATCCGGACATTCGTTAATTCTGTCCGCGAGACAGAAGTATTCATCTACCCCTTTCTAAGCGGGGATTTGCTCCGCTTTAGTCAGAGGAGGATGATATCCCACGAAACGAGGAAGAGGATTCTCCGCGATGCATTAAGTGGATTAGTTGAGATGCATGAGCGGGATATGGTGCATAATGGTAGATCTAATCGGTTAATGTTGAATGATACGTTATACTAACACCCAGAAGACATAAAACCAAACAACATCCTCATCGACTACACAGACCCCACCACTACGAACAATAACAGACAGCCATCAATAAAGTCAATCCAGATCTCCGACTTGGAAGATACAGTCATCGTCCCACCAGGGAAATGGCTCCGCGGACCCCTCTGCGGAAATGCACTCTGGCGCAGCGCAGAGAGCTGGGCGCGATCTCGTCAGAACCAGGCGTCTGATGTGTTTTCGTTTGCCCTTGTGGTATGCTCGGCCCATCTTGTCTCTATCGATTGATTGTGAGCGGGCTCCCATTTGCTAACATCTTGCTCAGATGGTTTATGTGATGGCAAATGAAATGGTTCTTCGCGTCCCTGATGAACAACTGAACGCTGAGGACTCCTGGCGTTATGTTCTTCGTCTTCACCTATCATACTTTGCCGACATAGAAGGCGTGGAGCGCTTCCTTGAGCACATAGGGGAGCAAAACCCATTCTTTGAACGCATATTGGAGCTAATCAACACATTCGGACTGGAGAATCCGAGACAACCGGTCGAACATTGGGATTTTCTCGAACCCGAACTTAAGGATTTGGTGGCTAGGATGACTTATCTTGATCCCAGGGGGAGGATTACGGCGAGGGAGGCGCTGGAGCCATTTGGTTTAGGTGATTAGTATTCTGTGGGGAGGGTTGGGGATGTCGGGAAGTGAAGTGGATGTTACGGTTGCTCTGGGAGGGTTGGTAAATGGGTTAAGTGCAGTAGTATATACTAGTTCTCGGTTAGTACTGGAGTTCTGTCGCGGAAGCTTGTTAGATTGTGTCGCTTCTCTAGTTACTTATTCGTGGGATTGATTATGATCGAGGTGGTGACCAGGGTTGTACAATCGTGGTGTAATTCTGTGGTGGTATACCTTGCTAAAAGACTTCTTTTATTGCAAGTAATGACAAGCCCTCTCCAGACAAGATTTATGCAGATCAATGTAACAATTCAGCCAGCTATACATGAGTAGCAACATATCCTCCCTTTATAAACAAAGCCAATGGCATGCTATGTACAATCATCAATCACATCTATCATCTATCATGCATCATTCATCATTCCTACCTCACGTCAAACCATCTCCAAAGCCATCTCCACAACCCATTCGGCATAACCCTCTGTGGCCAAGTCGACGCCATGCGGTCGTTATCCACAGCACGAAATTCGCTAGGTGGCGAGATATCGTGTCCATCTATGCCACGCATGACGCCCAACGATGACTGGGGCCGAGAGTTATTGTTCGATCCACTGCGGACTCGCTCTTTGCCCGTACGTGCATCAACCAACTTCCCAGCGGCTTGGACGCAGCTGCCGTATGCAAACCGGATGAGAGAATCGCCTGTGAGGCTGCCAATGATGAACACGTCCGGCGCGATCTCAATATCGTCATACACTTTGCTGCGCAAGGACCGGGCGGAGATGACGGGGCTCGTTTCCGTGGTCGCATCTTGGTCGAGTACTTCATCGAGAAGCGGACGGTCGAGGTAATCGAGGGTGCCTCGTCGGCCAGTAGCGTAGACCATCCCGCGGACGGCGCGGGTGACGGTGCTCCCGTCAGGCTGGCGGAATGTGACGAGGGCTTGATCCTCTTGCATCTCGACGTCCACAACTTCCGAGTTAGGCAATCCTTCGTATATATCTTCCCATGAGCGAGTTTCCAAGAAAGGGATCGAGGTGGTGCGCCGCGGCTTCACTCGTTTCTTCGTCGGGTCTGCTGCAACCGTAGCTCGTTTCATCAGTCGATAGACTCCGGCGTATTCGGGATATGCTTGATGGTGGCAGCCACGCAGCGGTGATGACCGCCCCTCCGGATCCCATTTGAACACATGTATGATCTTCTGATCCGCCGGCGCAGAGATGATGATATCCGCGGCAGAGAAACCAGAGCCGACCACAAGTAGCGGAGTCTGCGGAGTGGGCTGGAGCGAGGTCAAAGGCTGCAGCATTGGGCTGGGCTGCAGCACTTGAGTGAATATACCACTAGCCAGGACCAAGTGCTTGCAGTGGATGTTGTGAGAGCGAATGTAAAACCCATCATCTGTTCGTGAGATGCCGGAGATGGTCTCATTGAACCGGAACACATCATCGATCTGAACCGCCTCGGGGTACGTGCGGAAGTAGCTTGCTGTTTCTTCCCGACTGGGTCGGGTATATGCCGGAAGCTCCTTGCCCGTGATCTTCCGGTGGTGCTCAGCGAACGAATAGCCAGGGAGAGACAGCATTGACGCATAGCTGAGGGTCTGGATGTCCCAGCTGGCAGGCACGGGATTATCAGTCCACTGACCCCCTGCATGCTGAGCATTCCCGAACACCAAATGGGGAACGGCCTTTTCGAGCACGAACCGCCATTCGACATTCGTAATGGCCTCAAGCTCTTCTACATCCACGCTGGGACGCACCAGCGTGTCCAGGAGCACGTTCACGGGGAGAGCCTGCGTGGAGTACGACAGTCTCGAGGCGGCGAAATGATCCGTCAAAGCGTGCACGTCCACATGGAGCAACTCCGGGGAATCCTGGAGCTTCGCATGCAGAAGCGGGTCAGGATGAGGAGGATTGGAGGAATAAAATGGAAGATGGCCATGAAGAATATACGACAGAATCATGGCCGACGGCCCGTTCCCTGTGGGGGATCACATCAGCACGATAACACGGACCAGGGGGAGAAATCAAATAAAATCCCAGCATCTCCGTTGGCACGAAATGGCGACATACCGACGATAATGGTATCAGTCTCCAATGAAGGCATCTCTTGCGCCTTCGCCCGCCCAACCATCGTGGGGCATGCTGTTTGCGACATGCGATAGCAGGGTTCCTCTGACAAGTCCAACCACACACAGTATTGAATATCTACAGTAGAGCCACTACCTCCAGCTTAAGGGAGAGAACCGGAGGGCCATCGAGTGGCCGTTACATTGACAAGAAGGAGGAAAGATTAAGCTTGTAGGGTAACCATAGGAAGAGGAAGGGGGAGAGGGGAACGCTGACAAACTGACAAATGCAAGACCCTCAACTCGACTATGTAATCCTTACTTATTCCAGTAGGAATGGATCCAGCCAAGGGACGTGGGGGGGGGCGATTGCTTGCCAGCCTCCAATGATGACCGTTGCTCCGTGCCACCGGCGCATCCGGGGTCGAGAAGGTGAGAAGTTTGGCTGCCACGATTGACCCGGCAGGCCGTGGTGAATGAACCCCGTCAATCTGGGTTCCGAGACACTTTCATTGAAAGGAAGAGCAACATTCCGGAGCGATAACGGCAGTCCCGGATAATGGATAATATTCCCAATAAATCAAGAGATCGACAATGCATGACTTTGACGTTGCGGGGTCTTCCTGTTCCGGAAGGTAGGGCTCGGGGCCTGCACCATATCTACCCTATACCCTACCTTCCTGTTCGAGACACGGCTGACGCGTGGAACCCCCAGGCAATCAATCTATCGCCATCGGCGCTGGCCCAGCGTCCTCCGTATCGAAGCGCAAAAGACAATACCAGCAGCAGGTGGAATAATTCAAGAATCCAGCCTTCTGCTGCTGCCATGATTCTGTTACCTGAGCTGTCGTCTCGCCGGTTCTAATTGGAATTCCGAGGCTGCCTCCGCCGGAGGTTATCTGGTCTAGTCTCCGCAGTCCGTCCCTCTCCGCAATCATGTATCATCTGGCCAAGTCCCTGTATATGTACGCTACTAGCAAGGAGGGTGAGTTGTTGTCTTTGTCATAATCCCGTCCTCGCGCGCTAATATCACGGTAATAGAATACTCCGTTCTCCTCCTTGGCCTCGATAACGCCGGCAAGACTACCCTCCTGTCGCAAATCAAAGCCCTCTATCAACCCCGACCAGATGGCGCCCCCGCCCCTAACCCCGGGAAAACCGTGCCCACCGTCGGCCAAAACGTCGCGACCATCTCCTTACCGGACATGTATCTGAAGATCTGGGATGTGGGGGGACAAATCTCCATGCGGAACCTCTGGCAAAGCTACTACACCAGCTGCCATGCCATTATCTTCGTCGTCGACAGTGCCGACGTCGGTCAAGACCCAGATATCACCCGACTTCCGAGTCGACGACCTAGCTCTGCGTCTGGTCCGTCAGGAGGCCACTCCGGCGCATTTACGGAGGAAATGGTCGGTATAAATGCGCCCGGGAGCGATTTCGGTCGGCTCGACGAGTGTCGGCAAGTGCTAGAGTCGGTTCTACAGCATTCGGATGTGGCCGGCGTGCCGATCCTCGTTCTCGCCAACAAGCAAGATCGGGAAGACTCGGTGGAGGTTGTTCGTATTAAGGAGGGGTTTGTGCGCAAGGTCTTTGAGGGAGAGTCTGGAGCCGGGGTGAGGGATAGTCGTGTGTTACCGGTCAGCGCGTTGATGGGGTCGGGCGTGCAAGAAGCGGTGGAATGGGTGCAGACGCGAGTCAAGTGGAATAAAGAGGGACGACCACCGTTAATGAAGTGATAGACTTGGGGATGGGATGGTCTGTTGCGAAGATTCGATTCTTTTCTTGTTATTATATCGTGTTATTCGGTCTTGAGTTTGGCGTTAAGAGGTTATGTGATCGGGAAGATACCTTAATTGCATTTGTTTGTTTCAACTTGGGTCTTTTTCAAATGTCATATTTGGTGCATGTTGTACCGCAACCATGTAGACAGCCATATCTACATCCAGCAATGACCACAGCACAATACACCACAAAACACTGTAAACACCTACTACATCATAATTATCATCTTCATGGCCTAGATCAAAACAAATTGCCAATTCCATGCACCGGCATCTGACGGAGACATCCCTAATCATCCCATACCAGATACTGCAGAGTTACACCACATCCATGGAAGCACGCGACCGAAAACCGGACTGATTGGACGCACTGAGAATGCCAGTGCATGACGTTTATCCCAGTCAAAGCAGTGGTTCGATGAAAGTGAAGTGATGGAAAAGCATGCAAGCCATGAAGTCAACGCCGGTCACTTTGACGTCATTCCCGTGATGCCCTAAACTGCCATCCCGGACGGTTCGGCCTGTATATATAGCTGTTCAGTTACTGTCTGCTTCAATTTCTGTTCAGCATCAATTGTAAGAGTGTTTACTTGATAATATTATCCTGATTTTCACCAAACAATAATTTCCGCACACATCCACCATGAGCCACTTCAACAACCCCGATTCTGTCGCTACAAACAAGCAGGGTGAATTTCACCCTTCGGTGAAACCTACGGGTCCTCTAGAGCAGGGCGGTGTATGTATTTCATTACAATGGTGTCCATTCATGCAAGTTGTACTGATAGAAGCAGCACCAAGTAGGAAGAAAGGTCGCTCCCAGCGACTTCGTCCCCGAATTCCGCGCTGAGAGCCATCCCCCCGGTACCGCGCCCGCCAGCAGCTCCTACCAGCCTAATCCCATCGGCGAGGTTGGTGGCCAGGCACTCAACCCTAATGTCGAGCGCAGCCATGGCAAGGAATCTGTCAAGACCAACGCTAGCGATACCTTGATGGGCGCTACATCGCAGGACGTGCACCGGGGTATGGGCCAGCCTATTTCGGGACAGACCAGCAACGAGCTTCGTCATGATGGACAGCATGGACGCAAGGGCCAGAGTGCGGGCTTGGAACAAGTTGGAGCTAGTCGGGGAACTACCTTTGAGAGAGAGATGCCGAGCCAGCGTGGACTGGAGCGCGATGAGGCGCGCCCTGGTCAGCGCGGTGATAAGGGTGCATTGGCTGCAGAGGATCGCGTGCCGGAGTCGGCAGAGACGGCGGCCGCTGAATGGAGGTATGAGCCTTCGACTAAGAGGGATAACCCCCATAAGCATTGAGCGTCACCACAGGCTGGACCTTAATTGGATTTGAAGTGAATATGCTTAGAAAGGAAGTATTTTAACGGCAATGTATTAATGAACAAAATATTCCTGCGTCTATCGGTATGGGTATCTTGCTGTGTCTGTATCATAAGCAAATCAAAATTGCAAGTCGAGAAGAGCTTGGCCTGATCATGGTGTAGAAGAGATTGTAGGTGCAGTCGGGATCATGTTATTATGCAGGCCCCAGACGGTCGCCTTTATACGTAGACCCTGGCCGTTTGTTCTCTTTTTGGTTGATCTTCTTAGGCCAGCTGCGCGCAATGTCAATGTTTGCACGGGGAAACCACATCTCCAAGAAAACATAGAGTAAGAAGTCGATCACCACGCAAAGACAGAACAGCTTGCCTGCCCACACTCCGCATCCGTAGTACCGTTTCAAACGGTCAATAAGGGCAAAGCTTCGCACCCGGTCCCGACCGGCCTCCCATCCCTGTCCGGGATAGTAGCCGTAGAATTCCTCGGGGCTAATGTCCCCGGAGATGCCTTTGTAGACACGTTCCGTACGTTCGGCTACGTCCGTCCAAGAATACATCATTTTGACCTGGTCGTGGAATCGATCCGTGCGGACTTTGTTCGAACGCAATGCGGCGATGGCTTTTCCAGTGGCAAGCACGATATCATCCTCCTCCGGTTTCGCAAAAGTTGTCATGTGTTGGGGGAGCACCTCGGGAATGCCACCAACGCGTGTGCACACCACGTATAGACCACAGCTTGCAGCTTCCACAAGGACAGTACCGAACGCTTCAGTCAAACTCGGATGTAGATAGATGTGTCCCCGGATCATCACGTCACGAACTTCTTCGTGTCGCACCGAGCCAAGCATTTCAACCTTGTCCTGGAGAACATTCCTCTCTAGCATCTGTTCGAGATCGATGGCTTTGGGCCCTGATCCGGCAATGATGAATCGTACATTCGGATGGGACGCAAGTATCCGGGGAATGGCGGCAATAAGGAGATCGGTTCCTTTATTGTAGAAAAGACGGGATATGACAACAATCGTGATAATATCGTTGGGCTCCATGGGTCGCGCTATTGGCCGTGGCTCTGGGGGTCGGAAGTTCTCTGCAACCACCGCATTGGGAATGACAGACACCATCAACGGGTCTAGCGAGGCTCGAAGGACCGTGTTCTCCTTGCTATCCCCTAAAGTTAATATAAGTTGAGCATAATCATGCGATTGACGTACCATGTATGACTGACACAAATGACATGGTCTACGTCACTCAAGATGAACTTGAGCAGCTTGTTGGTGAGAATTGACGCCGCATCTGCAAACCCAAACAGCGAATGGTCGGTAAAAACTGTCCGGAGGCCCATTGTCCGTGCATGAAGAATAGCTTCGTGACAGAAGCTGCTCAAGCTTGCATGGCCATGTACAATCTGAATCTGCTCACGAATCACAATATTTCGGAAGATAGGGAAGAACGAGAAGACCGTCGGCATGGTCGACTCCCGGTAGATCACGAAGAAGGGGACATGGTATACTTTGAGCCCATTGGTGAGATAGCGAACGCCGGTTCGTCCCTTGTAGGCATGGGTTATGATGATGACTTTATGGCCGCGATCGATAAGCTTCTATAGAGCGATAAGCGTTGGCTGGAGCGAACGAGGTCTGGTAATCTTACGGTCGATAGCTGATATATGTGACTTTCAATTCCCCCTGGGCTCATCAGTAGCTGATCATCAGAGGAACAACAGAATGAGAGACCAACTGACCTGGCTGGGGGAAGAAAAAGTCACTGACCATACTGTGGACCGGTGATTAGTAGGCCAACCTTGATAGATCGCTCGAAACGCAAGCAGACACTCACGCAATGTTGTATGTCATAATGGCAGTCGGTAGTCTCTGAGCTACCCAAATGACACTGTCAACAATGGCCTTGAAAGGGCCGTTTCCAGCATATCCATGTTAGGACCAGACCAGCGTCAGGGGATGAGCAGATGGCCGTCGATCGAAGCTGCGGCGATGGAGAGACGCGATGAAGCCCGGATTGGTCCAGACCCGGGCGGCGGTGGGGGCGGTGGGGAGGTTCTGCCGGGAAACGATTCCCCGCTGGAAAAGAAATATTGATGTTTAATCTTCGGAGCTGCTCTGGCAACACCGACCCAGTGCTACATTCCCCTTTCCCTTGTCAACCTCGCGCCGACCCTGCGCTACCGCCGCGATCATGGCCGGTGATCGCTCCGCATCTCACGATCCTGCCCGCATAAGCTCAGGAACTCCGTCGAGCGCCAAGAAGTCTCACAAGAGAAAGAGAGATCTCGATGGCTCCGCCACCGCTATATCCACTCCCACCCCGACGAAGAAATCCAAGAAGAGTCAGGGTTCTCCATCCAACGATATCCCAGTCAAGGAAAGCCGGAAGAAGAAAAAGCATTCAGGAGCTGCAAGCCGAAGTGCTGTTCAAGAGACATCGCCCCAGAAAGAGAGTGCTGTCTCGCCGGTCGGCGGCCAAACGACTACTTCAAACCAAGACGACAGCCTCACTAAGAAAAAGAAGAAGAAGTCGAAGGATGGGAAACGGAAAAGCGGAACAATTAGCGATACATCTGAGGAAGATGTCAATATGAAGGATGCGGACGACATTGAAGAGCCCAAAGAGGAAGAAGCTAAAGGGATGAAGAAAAGCCGAAAGACTTCTGACCCTGCAACGACAGAGGATGACGACGACAAACCTACGAAGAACAAATTCGCCGGCATCTTGTCCAAGTTTGAGAGGTCGAAGAAAGCGCGGGAGCTGGAAAAGACAAAAGAAAGCATGAAGGATGAAGATTCCACTGAGCTAACGACAGCAGAGCCGGTCGTAGCACAAGGTCTGGAGCCGTTACCACAACCAGAAGCAGCGCCTGAGCAGGATGAAATGCCAACCTACTCTTCGTTGCCGCCATGGCTGGCCAATCCCCTCCGTGCATCCGCTCAGGAACGACGCAAATTCGCCGATTTGGGAATCGACTCTAGCCTTCTCCGAGTTCTGGAAGACAATGGCTACCATGAAGCATTTGCCGTGCAGTCAACCGTCATCCCTCTCCTGCTGCAAGGACCAACGAACCATCCGGGAGACCTTTGCATCTCCGCCGCCACTGGTTCAGGAAAAACTTTGTCCTACGTCCTACCATTGGTCACAGCGTTGAAGCCGCTTCCTGCGCCTAGGTTACGAGGACTCATCGTGGTGCCTACTCGGGAGCTGGTAAAGCAGGCCAGAGAAGCCTGTGAGCTCTGTGCCGCTGGATCCGGCCTCCGCGTCGCGTCTGCAGTTGGAAACGTTGCGATCAAAGACGAGCAGCGGTCGTTGATGCGCGTCGATCAGGTCTATGGCCCTGCGACATTCAAGCTTCGTCAAAACGTGCAACTGACAGGCGATGACTGGACGAACTTCAATTTGCAGGACTACATCTCAGAAGCCAGTGATCTAAGTGAGTCTCTGCCAGGCTACGTTCACCGGTCAGAACCTAATGTCGACATCTTGATCTGTACTCCCGGTCGTCTGGTCGACCATCTTCGTTATACCAAGGGGTTCACCTTGAAGAATCTCGAATGGCTCGTCATTGATGAGGCAGATCGACTACTGAATGAAAGTTTCCAGGAATGGGTGGACGTCGTGATGACCTCCCTGGACGCCCGAAAAGCCCCTGGTGCATTCGGTTTTAGCGGGAACTTTCTGTCTGGGCTTGGCTTGCCGATCCAGAGCAAGGAGCCACGGAAAATCGTTTTGAGTGCCACCATGACTAGAGATGTGACGAAGCTTAACTCTCTACGTCTTGCCAACCCCAAGTTAGTTGTCATCGGCGCGGATGCCGCCGCAACCGATGATGAGAGCGGTGGCATTGCACCTTCAGACGAACAGTTTACGCTCCCGCCTACCCTGAAGGAGCATACCGTATCGGTTGGAGATGGGTCGCAGAAGCCGCTGTATCTCCTGCGCCTCCTGCTGTCCCACATCAAGATTGAGACTAAGAGTGTCAAGCCTTCTGTGCACGACACTTCTGACTCTGATGATTCGGATTCCGACGAGTCAAGCTCTGGATCAGATTCCGATGACGCGTCGGACGTGTCTAGCTCTGATGATTCGGATTCCGACTCAGACTCGGACTCGGACTCTGATACCAGTTCTGAATCGTCTTCAGACTCCGAGGATACCTCGGAGGACGAGTCGAGCGACGAGTCAGAGTCAACTGACAGCGACTCTGAATCAGAAGACGAAAAGCCGGACCGACAAAGGCCATCGCAGACCACAGTTTTGGTCTTCACTAAATCGTCTGAATCCGCATCACGACTGGCTCGACTGTTGGCACTCCTCGAACCCTCCCTCTCCGACCGCATTGGCACGATTATTAAATCGAACAAGTCGTCTGCTTCACGCAAGACTCTCACAGCTTACCGCCGGGGCAAGATATCTGTGATTATTGCAACGGATCGGGCCTCGCGTGGTCTGGACCTACGGTCACTGACACATGTTGTCAACTACGATGTGCCAGCTAGCATCACTACCTACGTGCACCGGGTCGGTCGTACAGCTCGTGCTGGCCAGGAAGGATCGGCGTGGACGCTTGTGGCACACCGAGAGGGCAAGTGGTTCGCAAGTCAGATCGCCAAGGGGTCGGATGGGAAGATCACTCGGTCGACCAAGGTAGGAAAGGTGCAATTCAAATTGGATAATATGAAGGATGTCAAGGCACGCTATGCATCTGCCTTGGACTTGCTCGAGAAGGAAGTGAAAACGGGTGGGACCAAAGCCTCCAAGCCTAGTGCACAATGACATTGATGTTAGGTAGTCTCGGACAAGTGTATATAGTTAGGCCGAATACATGCAGACCAGTCTGGTGACCCTTTCTGTTTCGAAGAGTGGCCCGGGCTGAATACATAACTATCAAAGCCCCCCGCAGATCACGTTCAACAGCTATTCCCAACAGTTTCGTGCTGTATCAGATTATCAGTAACCATATCACTGTTCGTGTTGAGGTGCCGGGCTCAGCCGAGCGTGTCAGGTGCAGTCAATCTCATTATTGGACTCGCCGTTCTTCCTTCCTCCTTTTCTCAGTTCCTCGTTCCTATCGTGGCCAAGTACTACCATCCAGTTGCCGTTGACTTGTCTTTGCTTTGTTGTATGTCAAGAGGTATGCTGGTGCAATATATATAACTACTCGTGTGGTGCTCATGAATACTAAGTCATATATTTATGGCATGAGCTGATCCCTCTACTACATTTACTAGGCAGCAGAACATCCTACCAGCGTCCGTTCCGTTTCCCCAATATAATGGTCGAATCCTCCTCATGTCACCAGTTTATATATGTCCACCTGCGCCGCTCAAATCACTGCACCAGACAACCGGTGCTGTGGCAGATACATTCGACCCGGGTCGCAACGTCTTCCATGATCGTCCTGGTCCGAGCTGGTCCCTCAGGGCCGTAGCAATCCGTCTCCCATAAAAACTACGCACATTGGAAGTGTTACCCAATTCCTGAGAGGTGGTGGTTGCCCATCTGACCTGCCTTTCGGAAGCACAGTGTTATCGACGGTCCTACGCAATGTACAAATGAGAATGCGGTATTGACAAAGAGCTGTACATGGTTCGTCGGGTCAGGTCGAATATGGGAATGAAGGACTGGTAAGAAGAGCACTCTCACTGACAACCGTCGATACGTATTCCCGAATTGATGACTGCCTGCTCCAACTGGATACATCTGTGCGCACCTCGGCCTGGTCATCTGGACGGCGAGCGACGACGTGGAACAGAATAGACAGAAGCCCAGCAGTGGTGTCACAGCCAGCAAGGAACACACTCGGCAAAAGTTCCGGTCGCGTCGCCAATGAGTTCGACCACCTGGGAGAGAAGCAGCTCAGAGTCTGAGCCTTTTTCGCACAAGGGATGTTACGCGCTCGCACGGACTCATTCGCACTACTGTCTACACTTTACAAAGACCCTAGTCCCAGCAGCAGCTCGGTTGAAACTACGTTTGGAAATGGGCTGCAGGGAAATGGACAAACCCCATTGTGCGCAAGCAATAACGCCATATTGGGCTATGTGATAGTCACGGGAGAACTCTGGCAACTCGTGACCGTCCACTTTGAACGCTTTAACTTCAAGGAAGTCGATCGCAGAGTCAATAGTTTGCACTATTAGCAATGCTATCATCTACAAGGTGTTTCAGGCGCGGAAAAGAAAAAAAGTTAAGAAAGAAAGGGAGAGAGAGAAAAAAGGAGGGGGGGCCTATTCCAGATCAACTGTTGTGGTTGCAGATCGGATAGACAGTACACCCAACTGTCCTACTATCTCCTGACTTACGGACATGCCGCTCAAAAATTCAAGGTCAGCAATGTAGCAGAGCGTGGAGGTGGGTTTGAGCAGCATTCGCGAATTTTCCCACTGCTTCCCATCGGTGGCGATGCCCACGCAGCACTTCACCACAGATCACCAGATTCGGAAGAGTATTCAATATTACGAAAGCGAAGTTGCATATAGTTCAGCAGACGGCGCTCGAGCGTGGTGGCGACCGTCTTGCGGAGAGCGTCGGGGCTTAGCCCAGGGTCTAGATGGCTCTCCTGCGGTGGTGGAAGGCACATGTGAGGGTCTGATACCTGTCAGATGTGTTGCCCTGCAAGGGGAACCGGGCCTACAGTGTAACGGCAAGGCGAATTTTCCAATCACTACAGCAAAAGAAAGGGGGAAGCGCGCTGTCAGTACTCAAAATACATGTGACGAACCAAAAAGAAAAGCAAAATCAAAAGCAAAGAATCGGTGCCACA